TACGTACGTGTAACGAACCGCGAGCTGTCAGCCCGCGACAGCGGCCTGATCAATGTGGGCGGGACGGGAACCCGGCGCGGGGCGGGCGGGGCGTCAGGCCGGGGCGAAGGGAATGCCTCTGCTGCCCGGCCTCCGAAAGTTAATGGTTTCCTTCGGGTGTGAGGTAACGAGGACTGTGTGTGTATGTGCCTCGGGGGCGTAACTTTTGCAGTCACCTGTCCGTTAGGAGTTCGCCGTTTGTTGGCACGCGCCAGCGCCGCAGCGGCACGGCCGCACACACACACCATGGGCGCCGTAGGCAAGGATGTACGAGACGAGTGCGGCGGCTGCGTCCGCGGGGCAAGCACAAGCAGGCGGTCTATTGCCGCTACCGTGCAGCGGGACCTTTTTGGTGGGACAGAGACGGCGATATACGCTCCCCACTGACACGCACCTGCAGTAGTCTGCAGTGCAGTGCAGGCCTGTTTAGCCTGGACTGGCTCGTCACGTCAGCGGGATCGTTGCGTATTATGGCTCTGGCTGCTTGCCTAGCAAATACTTTGCCACCCTGCTCTGCCTGGCCGTATAGGCCTGGGCCGCTCCGGTTTGTACGCCCGTTTGCCAAGGCCTCTCTGCGCCGTGCAGATTAATCTAGGCTAACCGCGCCTCTCGGGCGGCCAGTATAAAGCACACGTCAAGATGTCAGGACTCGCGGTAACATGACACGACGCCCTGAGTTTATTATTGTTTTGAAATGTAATTGAAAAGAAACTGTATGAAATGCCCCATGCTTTAGAATGCTCATGAAGTGATCCCAGAGTTGATACATATTTTGCATACGGCCGGTTTAACCTGCTGATGCCGTACTCTATGGTCAGATCCGCGGCCGACGCACACACGACGCCGCGTGCGTAGGCAACTCAACTGACCGCTCCGCCGGGTGTGTTGCCGGTGCTACAGGGCGCTCGGCGCTTCGTGGCCTGGCGTGCTACCAGCTTTCGGTGACACTAGAAGATGCTGGTGTCGGTCGGAAACTAGACGCTGGGCTCGTTTTCGTAGTGAACTTACTGTCATGAAAAACTGAACACCTTTGACCAGCCGGCAGGCAGAATTCGGTTTCGGCGCCAAGACCTTCCCTAGTCCAATGCAGCCATCATATACTTTTATCTATCGCGCATTTCTATTTTCTTCACTGGATAAGTCATGCAAATATTGGACAGAGGATACTCATACCATTAACAATTCTTGTGTTGCTTTTGTTGAGCGAAAAGTATTCTACCAAATGAAAATGTTGAAGTGTCGTTTGCATTAGTATGGCTAGTTGGCAGCAAAATTAACTGTAACAGTTGACAGTCGCTCTCCGTTCTGCATATTTGTTTACGTCGAGTACAGCGGAACTGAGCAACATCGTGGTTTTAGACATAATTCAGTGGGAAAATGTAGAGGAAATGTTCATTACCTTTGAAATATGGTGATTTGATACCATCTGTATTGGCAAATATTCGCGACAATGTGTGACAACTCGTCAAGGCAATACAGTCGTTAATATGAATACTTCTGCAGATGTTTTTAAGGTTGTATTGGGGTTATGCTACTTTTAAGATCTTAAATATCCAGCCCATGCAGAAGACGGTAAAATACATAAAAAAATAGGAATCTCTGACCGGTTAAAAGTATATTAGACTTGTCATAATAAAATAAAATGGGGCACTCACTATTGGATGTCCTCCATCGGAGTGGAAATTTTATTGTGGTTAATAAGGATTGTGACTGTCTCATAAACAGCGATGATCCTGAGAAGTTGGTAAAGTTGGAATAATTTATGTGCAATTATGTGGAGGTAAAAATCATTTTAAATAATGTAATTATTTTGTGTCATCTGAACAGGATACTGTAGCCCACAAGCTGAGTAACACATTTCCAACACTGTCCAACCCAAAATTGTTTCATTCATTTTATTTTGTCCATCGACTTGACTATTCATGCAGTGGTGCATTGTGTGTTGCTCTTAATAAGGCAGCATGCGCAGCAGCAAGCCGAGCATTTGTTACTCAGAAAACTGTAAAGTACTACTTAGCACTTGTGCGAGGACACTTAAAAGACAGTGTAATGGACATTTCCATCCCAGTTGGTAAATAATAATTTCAAAAGTTGTATGTTTGTATTTGAAACCACAGCTTAAATACACTCTAATTTCACGATAATTTTTATCCAGGAAAAGACTGCAGAGAGCAAGGCAGTGGTACAAGTAATCGAATGTGTGTGGAGGGACCCCATTGCATGGAGCCTAAGGATTCTCATACTAGAATGCTAGTGCTAGACCGTGGTTTATACTGTGGAGATCCGGCAACAAAATTACTTTTGCGGCTGTATACTGGTAGGAGACACCAGTTAAGAGTCCACTGCTCACACATTGGGCATACAATCATCGGAGATTATACATACAGTAACAGGACTGATTTATCTCCTCCTAGAATGTATCTTCATTCTTTTCGGTGAGAAGATGGCTTCAAAATTATTATTGGGGTGAAAGAAAGAGATACAATAATCATTATTGAATTTTCAGGTTGGTGATTCCCAATAAAGTAGAATGCTTGGAAATTCAAACATCAGACCCATTCACTGAAGAGCAGCTGGATGGCAAATGGGTTGTTCAAGAAAATATTCATCCTCTGAATGAAGACACATACCATCTTATTGAGACTTGGTCAGGAAAAAGAGATGACAGTGTCAGTTAAAATTAAACCAAATCTTTTGCTTTTGATTTTCACCCTAACAGGATATTTTTAAAGTTACTTTTAAACAAATTTTAGGACAACATGCAAACAATTTATCAATGAAGTGAACTTCATTAAATATCTCTATATGTAGTTTCAAAACAATCTATGTTAAAAAATTAACTTCTGATTTTTGTTTTTCTAGACATTTGTTTCAAGACAACTATAGAGCAGACTGTGCAATAAAAACATGAACACAGACAAAATGTGGATTTTTTTGGTGATTATCACTTAAGGAAACTTTCTTCAAGACCCCATGAGTTATATAATAATTAAGTCTTATTTATAATAGTAATACAATTGTAACAAGTAAAGGTGCAAAAGAAGTACCTGAAAATAATACATGGGGTAAAAAAACGACCTCAGAGCGCTAGATAACTTTCAAACAGCTTCCAAACTTACCAAATAATAGGTGTGTTTTGTTCTTTCAGTTAGCTTGCCACTGGAATAAGGTAATGCATTAAATATAGAGCAATCCATTACATCACCCTGGACTTAAATCCCATGAAAACAAATTTATTATCCTAATTGTTTAATGTATCATCTGTTAATACTTACTTTTAGAGTTGTGTTACCAGACTGACTGGCATATTTGTCCATTTTATCTTCTCTGGCTCTTGCTTGCTCTATTTTTCGTTGTACCTTTTCAGGGTTAGAAAGACCTCTTGCTTCATTTTGTTTGGCACGGTTTTCAGCAGCTTCTGCCAGCTGCCGTCGTCTTGTTTCCTGCAGATATAAGTAAAGATGACGAAGATGGCATTTAAACAAACAGCCGACACTGCTATAAACTGAATGAATAAGAAATGTAAAAGGAAATGGAGAAAAGAAATTGTCCTCAAGAACCACCAATTTTATTATTATTCCCGTATTACATGTGTCACTTGTGACAAAGAGAAGATTAAAGAAGGTTATTTACCACTATGAGATTGCATATTTAACTCAATTACTCACCAAATCAGGAGACAGCAATTCTTCCTGGGAGCCTGAATTGAAGCAGGAAGAGCAGCAACCACCCATGATTTTCTATTTTAGTACTTCCCTTTATTTTCGTAGAATAATGTTGACAATCTTCGTGTTTACAAGCTCGCTTACGTAAACGGCCTAACAAATTGTCAACACGATTGGAAAACATTCAAATTCCTAAGAGCAGGATTTAAAACTAACAAAATAGAACATATTACACATGTTGTAACATTGATTATCAGGAACCGCAAATCGCGAATTATGTTTCCTTCCGTCGGAGAAAATTCATAAGTTGTCCCTTTTCCGGGTTCGTATTGTGTCGTAAAATACGCTTTTCTAAAGTGAGATCTAGCAGAGGGAATTTCCTAAACTGTCAACTCGTCAGCGCAAGTATGAAAAGCGTTTTAACCACACGCCCCACACGGCTGATTGAGTTGTCTAGAACTGTTAATGACAAAAATACTCGTACCAACCAGAATGATTCCATGATTGCCATTGCATACCTTGTCATCTCTGCACAAGACGAAACCCTGACATTCTCTTTATGCTTCTCTTCTGACACTTGACATTTGTGATTTGACAACCTGACAAATTTGTCACCTTTGTCGATAGAGCACTGCCTTCTCTACTATTACGTAACTACCGCCGCATTAAATGAAAATAATAACAAGGGCACAAACATCTGCGTCGTAAAAAGTCAGGAATTCTTGCCAATGAGATAGCATATAATGTTTGAAATGAATGAAAAAGATCTTGAAAACAGAAACAAAATTTAAGTAAGTAAAAAAATACCTGCGATCGCACGTCAGTTTCACGATAAAAATTGAATATGTTAATTATTGCAATGTTGATTACCCATGTTTAGTGTCCGCCATGTTCCCTAGGAGCTGAGAGCTGAATGTGAGGTGTAGTTATTTTCGTTTATCATGTACCTGTCGTCTACGCCCCGATTGTAATCAAACTTTTCCTTTCTCGCGTTAAGATGTGAGTCGAGGTGATAAATAATCAAGCAATCCGATCGTCGGCTCGCGCCGATATCTATGAACCGAAGTGCCTGAGGCCGTGGGGTCTGATTCCGACTGACCAGCGGACAGCTCAACATGGCTGACAACATGAGTCACAATCCAGTCCAAAGCAAGGATAAAGTGCGTCTCGGCGGTCCTGGGGCCACGACGGGCGCTGACGATGCGGTTCTGGAGCGTAAGAAGACGCCCTCTTTCCAGATCACGAGTGTGACAGTGGCTACCAGGGTGAGCAACGACGGCGGGGACGATTCGGCCGACGACCTGGACGACTCTCGGACGGACGACATCTCGGAGGCCGTGGACATTGACGGCTCGCCGTCTATGTCGCTGTCAAGAGTGACAGATCTTGAGACTCCTAGTTTTAGCGAGGAGAGTTTCAGTAAAGAGGATGTGTTCTTCAATACATCGGCCGCAGCTCTAGGTTCGGCACCTGTGATACCCACAAGCTCGCAGTATGGGCTGGCAATTGTACCCAACCTTGAAGGAGACCCTGCCAACACCAGTTCTCCTGTCAACTGCATCAACAGTGTTAGTGCCAGTGATGTCCATGTTAATGTCAGTGTGGCAGAAGCCAACAGTAAGCAGAGTGAGGTGGACAGTAGTCATAGCCATCCAGGCCGTAACGAGCGGTTTAAGGTAGTTAAAATAGAAAGCACTGAACCATTCAAGCGGGGCAGATGGATGTGCATGGATTACCTGGATCATACAACTCAGCCACAGCAAAACCAGCAACAACAGCAGCAGCAGCAACAACAGCAGCAGCAACAACAGCAACAACAGCAGCAGCAACAGCAACAGCAGCCACACATCCAGCAGCAGCCACAACAATCCCAGCAGCATCCACCTCAAGCCCAGCAACAGCAACCTTTACAACAACCCTTGCAACAACAACAACAACACCCAATTCAGCCACTTCAGCAGCAGCAACAACAAATGCAACCCCAGGTTACATTAGTGCAACATTCTTTGCAGAAAACAGACTGTAGTGATGTTATCTCACCAAACATGGGGATGTCACCATATCCGCAAGACCAACAAGTTATGATTAATGATTCAATGGTGAAAAATGTTGGACCTGAAGATCACCAGAGTAGTGTTTTAGACCCCAATGTTATTGCCCAGATGGCAAATAGCATGATAGCACCAGTCTCTTCTCCTGACCAACATCAACAAGCAATGTTGGCTTCCCAGCGACATCAGGTTGCTCAACAGAGTTTAACTATGGGACAGATGGCGACCAGCAGTTATCAGCCAATGGCTGGACAGTCACTACCCCATGTGGCTATACCTAGCAGTCAGCCCCAGCAGCAAGTTGTTATTCAGGGACAACAAATGCCTCAGACGATGCCTCAGCAATTGGCACAAAGTTTCCAACCACAAGGTAACTCAGCTGCTGGTCTACCTCAGCAAATCCTGCAACCCCAACACCCTCAAAGTATGACTCAGGTGCCATATCAGCCTCAGCCAGTCTCTCAACATCAAAGCCTGCCCCAGCAACAGTTGCAGCATGTGATACAAGTCCACCAACAACAATATCAACAGCAGGCACTTCCTCAAATGCAGCAACTACAACAGCAAATTCATCAACAGCAAATTCAACATCAGCAGCTTCAGCACCAGCAACACCAGCAACTGCATCAAATGCAACAGCAACATCAAATGCAGCAGCAGCAGCAAATGCAACATCAACAGCTTCAGCAACAACAAATGGCTGTAGCAATGCAGCAGCAGCAACAACAGCAGCAGCAGCAACAACAACAACAGCAGCAGCACCAGCAACAACATCAAGTTTTACCCCAAGTTGCTCAACCTCCTCACAGTGCTGCACAGCATTCTGTAATGTCTCAAGTTGTTCAACAACAGGCAACTCACATGTCTGCACCAACACAGCAGACACAGTATTATAGTCCTCAGCAGGGACCCATCATCCAGCCGAAGGTTGTCACAATCCAACAACAGAACCAAGCTGGCGGTTATCCTGCGCAGACTTCAATGACAGTAACGCAGACGCAGAACGTAAATTCCACTTCTCATCTCCCCACAATGACTCAAGGGGCATCGTTGCCTCAGCAGTCAATACCCCAATCTATTGCACAAGCGCAATCACTGCAGGCCCAGTCATTACAAGCTCAATCCCTTCAAGCCCAACTACCTCCTCAGCAGCATCAGCACCAGCAACATCCTCATCAACAGCCCTTACAGATGGCTGGGCAAGCTCTTTCACAGATGCAACCTTTGGGTCAAGGCCAAAGTCTTCCTCAAAATCTCACATCAAATTCTGTTGCTCCAACTGGTCCTCAACAACAAATTCCGCACCAGCAGCTTGCTGGACAATCTTTACCTCAAATGCAACAGATTGCATTGGCTCAAAATTTACCTCAAGGAGTGCCTCCACAAAGTGTTGCACAGTCTACACCTCACCCGCAGATTTCCAACCAACTGCCTCCACTGCAGACTATGGCTCAGGTTCAAAACTTGCCCCAAAGCATTTCCCAGAGCTCTGTTCCTCAGCCGGCTGCTCAGCAGGGCCAAATTGGCATGGCTCCTCAGCAAATGATGCCAATGCAAATGCAGCAGGGCCAAAGTACCTTGCTTGCTGCTCAACAACAGCAGCAGCAGCAACAACAGCAGCAACAACAACAGCAGCAGCAACAGCAACAACCTCCTCCACAGCAACCTCAACAGCAGCAGCAGCCCCCACAGCAGCCTCAACAGCACTACCCAATGGCTTCTAATGCTGGTCCTCAAGCATTTTCAAACCCTACTGTTAGTTCAACAGCTTCCATAATGTCTCCACATTCCGGTGGTGCTGCATCTATTGCCACTAGTGGTGTTTCAAATGTTGTGGATCCCATGACAGGCACTCTTTTAGGAACTGTAAACAATCCTGTTGAACTGCAATCAAACCAAGGGGTTGTTTCAAGTAATCAAAACGGTCCAGGTATAGGGCCAGCAAATGCACTTTTGGAATCTCTTGTCGAAGCTACTAATTCTGTTGATGATGTGGCTCCTGGCAATACAGATGACACAGAAAGGTTAGTTTTAGATTTGACTACTGCAAAATCAAGTTGCTTTTTGAGAAAAAATGACCTACTTTTGCTTAATTTTGAACCAAGCGTATTATAACATTGTGACTAATATAAACTTTTCCTTTTTTATTTTTTAGTGCATCTGGAACAAATGCTGTAGCAATTGATAACAAGATCGAACAAGCTATGGTGAGTTTATTACATCTTGTTTCGCTAGTTTTGTTTTAAGTTTTTTTTCCCTACCTTGTCACTATGCTTTTTACACTCCATTGTGCCCATGCCTTGTCAACTAATAAGCCTGAGATATTGTGTCTTTTCATTTAACTAATTTTGTCTTAAATTTTCAGGATTTGGTGAAGAGTCATCTTATGTTTGCTGTGAGAGAAGAAGTGGAAGTGCTGAAAGAGAAAATAGCTGAACTTATGGATCGTATTAGTCAATTAGAACTAGAAAACTCTATTCTCAAGGCACATGCTACTCAGGAGACACTAGCCCAGCTTAATTCAAGTAGTGGCAGTAATATGCAACCACAGGGTCAACAAGGTTCTGTGTCGCAGGGCCAATCGCAACAAACACCTCCTCAAAGTACTCAGCCTCCTCAGCACCAGAATGGGTCTTGAAGATAATTTATCAGCTTGTTGTGAAGTTAAAGATGTGATATATTACGGCCATTGAGCATTGGTGGAAAACCAGATGCGTACTTGCCAGTTGTGTAGGGTTGACACTTGGGAACATCCTTACTGGCTGATTCCCATTTAGTAATGAATTAATTAATTGCCAAGTAGATAAAAGAAGCCGATGAGGTTCTTGAATTTAGACTGTGCTTGTACTAATTCTAGAGTGATATTGAATCCCTCTTGAGTGAGGTCTGGCATCACTGCCTGTGACTGTCTTCTGTTGACAAGGATTAATGCCAGCAGCGACCAAGTCTAGGATAATTAAGATACCAGCTGGTTCTGGAGCCACAGATGCTGGTTGCATTTCGTGCTCATTTTCTTTGTACATGTGGTTTTGCTCTTGCTTCACCCACTTTTGGAGCCTTAATTTAAGACACAATCACCACCTATCTCCCCAAAGAATTTTTCATGTTCAGATCGCTGTACTTTCCTTTATTTCAATTCAAAACTAAGTGAAAAAGAAAAAAAGACTAGGGCTTTATACAGTGGAATATGCAACTATGTTCTGCATACCTCTCACAATCATATGCTATGGTCTTCTTTACTTGAAAATGTATCCTTTAATAGGCAAGTAACTTTGCAAACACTAGTCAAATTTTGACTGGTCATCTGACCCTTGTATCTGGAGCATACCTTTTACAATTTTATTTTGTATGGGAAGTTTTATTGCACTCGTGTAATTACTTATTGAAATTTCTAACTTGTTTGATTTGTTTTACCTATTCATGTCATTTTTGTTAGCATTTTGAACTTACATTAAGGGCAAAGGTTAGGTTGTTTTTTTCACATGTGCTGTAAAATATCCTTTGATTCCTTTAGTTTTTGTTTTTTTTCATCATTTCAGTTAAATGGGTGTTCAAATCATTTGTATTCTTCTGAACAGTAGGATTTCTGTATATAAACTAAGTTTAGGATGGCTTAATCTAGCATCTTCCTGAAACTTGTCTGATTTGACTCAAAATCATATGCACTAATGAATATGTTATCCTAAAGTGTTTTTTTTTACAAATTCTACTTAGGTATGCTTTGTAAACCAATCATATTTCAAAATCTTTTTCTTCTTTTTTGCCTGTTATTCTTGGTAAAGATATGATTTGCATTCATCTTTTTTGAAATGATTGATACTGTATTGAGCTCAAAGGTTTCTTGTTATTGGTCACTTTTTGTAGTTCTAATTTCCTGTGTGATTCTGAGCAGAATGCAGCAATTAGACTGTGGAGATTTATGTACCCCTGAAGTAGTTAGCTCTAGTCGTTCTTAATAAGACTGAATTTCTGACAAACCTAGGTGGCCTCTAGTCCTGTTCAATGGTATCACTCACAGTGCGAATTGTGAACTCTCCTGAGGTAGCTTAAATTTGGAAGCAAGCAGAATTGTTCTGGCCAGTACATTCAAATTAATTTGTTGTTACTAAATCTGTGCTGGAGGGGAAATAGGATAGAAAATAACAACCTGGAACAATTACGAATGAGAATAGTCGGTGTGCCATAAGACCATGTTGTCCACTGTTTTCAGATTATTGCGTTTGTTGGATTTGCTGCACTCATAATCTTAAATTCCATTCAAAATTTAGAAAAAGGGTAATTATAATTGTTACAACTAAGGATGGTTTTCAATTACAGTTACTAGTTACTGGCATTGGAAAAACTTGATCTTTTGTTTTTCTGTTTTTCTCTTGTTGAATTTTTGTCCAAACTTCTGTTATTTCAAACATCTGCTTAGGTCTATTGTGAGTTTGTTTTGGGTTTAACTTGTCTGAATCTTTCAAAATTTGTTATTTGTTTGTTGGTGCTATGGCATATGAAACAGGAGAAATAAGATTTGTGAACACAACTATTTTAAGTGCTCCATGACTTGCTTTCTTCCTTCACTATTTTCCTAAAGAGTTCAGGGGATGGTGCACATTCCACTTGTGATGCAAGGAAACTGTGTCTTACCAGATTGATGCAGGAGCAGAACTTTCTCTAGATTTTCGAATATTTCTGGTTCCAACTAATTCCTGATTTTTGCTGTGGTGGCAGCTGTTTTTTTGTACTCCTGAATGGAAATTTATATCGATATATGTCTACATATAAAAATATGTATCCTCTCTGGCTTTGAAGCTTTGAAGATGTGTGTATGGTTAATTTCAGTATTTGACTTGTTTTGCGTTTTGCAAGCATTCAAAGTCATGAAGGCTGTGTTAGTGATATATTTAGTGTAAGGTAATTTTATGCCTTATGTGAATCAAGCTCAAATGGGCCTCAATATTAATTCCTAAATCATTTTTTTCCTTCAAAAAATGAAGATGACGGTTATTTTAATATTGAGGAACCCTTTAGCTCAGATAGTCAGGAAACTTGTCTTTGTATTATGTCGTATGAAATTTTATGTTATGACTGCCATTGCCTTCAGCAATGTTCTTGTGTGCATTGTTTCATCTTCGGTGTGTACATTTTTACTTAGCATGCTTTCTCTGATTATCAAGCTGTGAGTTGTATCTCTCCTAGTTTTATTTAGTTACATTTTCCCCATTTTAAAAGTTATTTTATCAGTTTGGTCTTTGTTTGTGGACAATGCTGTTTCTTCTAATACCTTTTCAATGATAAAAATACTTACCTATCCCCATTAGTTAACTCAGATTTCCATCAAACAGGTGCCAATCATTTTGTTCAAACAAGTTATGATCAATTATGAATGCTTTAAATGTTAGGGTAACAGTATCGGCTCCAGTATCTTATTTAAGAAATGAATCTCGTTCTGGAAAAGAAAATTTTATTGACTTTGCTTCAAACTTCCTCTTTCCTGGCTCTCAAACATTGTTTTTAAAAATAATTTTAGCTGATTTCAAAGCCGCTACAGACAGCTGCTTTATCAAACTCTACAAGGCTGGCTTGTTGCCATATTTTTTATAGCAGAGAGAGTGGTCAGCTTTGTCTGGAAAAAGTTCTGTGTGGTTTTCGTCACTGTTAAATACGTATTTTGTTCAATTTTATTGATAAGTGCTTCCTAAGTCCAGAGTAATATTCAGATAATGAGTAGTATATCTATGCTTTCTGCTGTCTAAAACCTCCCCATGCACAAGATAGTGAAAAAGTGTGTCTGTGAGTACCTTCTCACTTGTCACCTGCTAGCTACAACCAACCACTTGATACCTACCTTTTGTGACATGTGACATGCTTTTAATTTGTGGTGTTATTGTCTTAAGGTAACTTGTTTCTCGTGTCTCATATTATTCAGAATGCTGCGTTTTCTGCACGGTAGTGTTCATAATTTTTGCCAGGTGAAGCAATCTTTGCAAACAACTCAATGTGGCACTCATTTGATTTCTTAAGTAAATCCCGATATAAGTAGTCTATTTGACAAGCTTGGTTGCAAAGACACTTTTTATGTGAATGCCCAATCATTTCAATGCCTTGTTCTAAGGAAGTTAACTTTTTAATATTCCAGATCATGCCAATGGCCCCTTTTACATTTACTATCATGTGATACGTATTGCAAATTTTTTTTTTTTCAAATAAGGCTGACTGTTTTGTTAAGTTGTTTTTGGTCATGGCAACTTAAATGTGTCAGCACATTGTTACCGATTTTACTGTTAATAGACATACATTCAGAAACTAAAGTAATAATAATTTGGCTGTTTTTAAATGTTTTTTGTTTTTACAAAAAAGCATCCTGGTTACGTGTTCATAATTTACCCTATGAAAATCGATATCCTTGTACTTAGTATTTATCAGCAAAAGGAATTCTTGGAGAACTTTATTTTAAAGTATCAGTTTTCTCTTCAATTGAAAGTTTATGCTCTGGCCAATCTATATGTTTCTTTGTTGAAATGCGGCAAACCTTTCGAATGAGATTATTTTTAAGTAGGCTTGTATTTTGATTGGGACTAAATTGGAAATTGAACTGTGTACAGTGAGATGATTGTATTGTATATAGATATTGAAAAGTTAATATATGCATATATATACATATTTAAAATTATTTTTTATGTATTGCTGGCAGTTTTGTGATTTTATGGTATTGGAGAGAACATAGTGTGTGCGTGTGTGTATGTATGTGTGAATATCCGCATAAGTGAAAACAAATCTGCAGTCTTTTTTTTTTATCTAAATGAAAATTGTAAATACCATCATGCAGGAAATATGACTTATGGTTCCTCATTTGTTATTGATATTAATAAATAACTATCCACTTCATATAATTTGAGCCATTTTTATTTGTACCTTGAGTAAACAAGCAGGCTGAGTTAATTGTAACATTATTGCCCAGAGAGACTAAGCACCTTGCCTAGACTATAGATTCTGTAATTTTCAACATCACAGTAGCCAAGTGAAATAAAACACAATCACTGTTCAGATAATTTATTTGTATTAAATATGTATAACTGGTGTCTCTTAAGGAAAGTTGTGAGGATAATTAAACTTTGTTGAAGGCAGCAATGTCAGCACTCTGAACCTGGAAACAAAAGAAAAACAAAGGTTAGTAGAATGACAAGGCCAAGGAATTTGAAGTTTAAGAAGTAGGCGATGCTCACATAATCCTCAAATTCCTGAATCTTTTCTTGGAGCAAGTCCACAGAAACTTTGTCATCTTCTACAACACATGAGATGTGAAGTTTGTGAATTCCATAAGCTAGTGGCACCAATTGGGCTGGAAAGAAAGTAAAGAGTGCATAATAATTTGCCACAATCCATAAAATTCTGAGTCAAGATTTTTAATACTTACAAGCACCCCAGATAAGGCCGTCCATTTCAATTGTTCGGACACACTCCTCCATTTTCTTCATATCAGTCTCATCATCCCAAGGTGATACGGATAAAATGATGTTTGATTTGGCAATAAGGGCTGGTTCTGTAAAAATAATTTATGGTGGTAAAATACATTCTTGGATATTTTTGTTTACAACAATTTCAAAGACACTTACTATTAGATTTCTTGGCAGCATATGCGGCCAATCTTTGCTCTCTAATTTTAGCAGCTTCTTCACTCTCCTCCTAGAAAACAATTCAAGAAATTTGTGAAGATCTTGTTAAGAGCAAAGCTGAACTAATACTAGAGCTTCAAATCTATACTTACATCAGAATCTGAACCAAACAGATCAACACCATCATCATCGTCATCATCCTTGGCCTTAGCAGGAGTCTTAGCAGGGATCTTAGCAGCAGCCGGAACAGCAGAGGGCTTTCCTCCTTCAAGGGACTTCACACGTCCATCCAGACTAATGACGAGGTTCTTAAGATCGTCCACAACTGCAAGTTGAATTTAATCAGTACCATACAAGTGCAGAAATGCTGCAATTACGGGAAGATTATTTCAAACCTTACCTTTGTGAAGAGTGGCATTTTCTTTCTCGAGAGAGTTTATCCTACTGACAAGTTCAACGTTACTTCCTGCCATTGCTGCAATACCATCCATCTAAAACAAGATAAAGAATATGAAGTTTAGATTGTTGTCAATATAACAAGAATAATAAAAGATGGCTGCAATCCCTACATATTCACATCTTTGTTAAAAACTACAGCATCTCATAGGATGAAACAAAGGAAGAAAAAGGCTAAGCAGACAACTGTTGTCGAGTGTGAAGGACTTAAATAATGCAAGCTGCATCCTAAAGCATAATAGAACACAGGTTGGTACAGCATATACTAGATAAACCAATAAGGCATAGTCCGGTACTAAAAAAAAATAATTAGGGAGCAGAAAGTTGAAGAATAGAGCAACAACTGAGTTGGTGCAAAATTCAAGAATTCCAGCTCATGGACTTCAGGACATAAGTGCAGGAGATAAAATTCCCTTCGTAAATAATTCTAACATGCAACTCCCTAAACAATTTCAGATTTGTCACATGCGTTCTTGGATTGGATGGTATGAGAAAGTGCAGGGTTATTAGAGGAGAGCCAACAGCAGTAAGGAACAATGTGCATATGATCAAATAAATGGCTTTGGAGAAAAGGGAACAAGAACTTTGTAGAAGTCCAAAGATAAGTGAGATTTCAGCACTTTAGAGAATGAGATCTAAGCTCCAAGAGAAAACAAAACATGCATTGCAGGTGTTTAAAATGACAGAATGTTCACAGAATGTATTAAGATTGAAACATGTAGGAAAGCACAATTTGAACTCATGATCACAACAAAACATGTGGCCACTCAGTCAGGTTTATATATCGAGGTAACAGTGAACCACATTCAGCAATTCAATCTTTTTGAACTTCAGCCAAAGATGTACAGATTGAAGAGCACATATAGAAGAACTATACTACCAAACTACTATGGACATCATGTCTACTCACACATTCAAGAGATTGTTTAATATGCTGTCGAGCCTTCGCAACTTCACTGGCCAAAGACTGTTTCATAGGGGGATTAGAAGACGCCTATCCGACAGAAAGACAGAAGGAATTAAAACTGTAGTATAGCACTCAATTACTTTTTTTCCAATAAAGCTAACTCAGGGAAGTTTTAGCATATAAAAAAGCTTAATATATGCAACTAAAAAAACTAGACAGAACACGAATAGGTGCAAGAGGTATTAGCAAAATTTAACCTAGTTTTCACTTAACAGCACTGTGCTATTCATAACAGTAGGATTAAAAATAGATAAGACCAGAAGCAGTTTCTTCTTTACAAATAGTGAAAGAATTGTTTCCTGAATTGTGTTGATAAAAACACATTGGGTCGACATGAATTACCTGATTGACAAATAGGCAAGTTCCAGGCAAATGTGGAATAAAGGGATAATTTGATCATGCAGTGCTCATGATCTCTATGCATTGATGGAAAAACAATGCCATGCTACTGATATTACTTTACTACTTTGGCAAAAATTACATTCACAGAGAGCATGCACCTATCATGGTTGCGTCCAGTGCAACGTAAAATACGAGCTTGTGAGGATTCCAATTGGCAATTGGACACATTTTGACTGTGCCTCAGACAAAGCAGCTGGGCTCAGGAGACACTAGCACCCTTATAACCAAGACATAATATCCATTCATTGCTTTCATTAAAAGAATTTCACGCCACTGGAGCAACTTTTCATCAAAGGTACTTCTGAAGTGCTGGTCTGACATTCAAACCAAATTAGTACAACACTTCCCATGCTTGAAGTGAAAAAATATTTTAGTAAATTGGCAGTATAAGTGCATAACTTATCAAATTAAAAGCCCTTTAAGCAATGGGAACATTACAGCTGACACAACTAGACAAAAGTGGATGACAACAACTTGATACAATGTTCTCCAAAATAGAACTAACTGTAAAACATGAAGGTAAGCCAAAATAAGATCTACTTGCATTCTTGGTTTCAGTAGTGTTGGCAGCAATATGAATTAATTTATTGTTAAATCCAACACCACTTTTGCATGCTGGTTCACTTCCTTTCACAGCGGCAGCAGAAATTCCCTGAAGTTTTGAAAGTTGTCACTAAGCCTCTTAAGTGTTATATCAGAACTGGTACTACATAGGCACACAAGGGTTTACTGACACTGACCTTCCCTTTGTTCTCAGCATTGTAACCAATAGAATTGTTAGCACAGTTTTCCACACCTTCAGACTTAAGGCTTCCATTGCTTATTTTCTGCTCTTTTTTCGTCTCCTTCTCTTTCTTCTCTTTCTTATTTTTCTTTTCTTTTTTGGATCGCTTCTCATCTTTGACAGAGAGTGCTGTAGAGGAAATCACTTCATTTCCGCTGTCATTTCCAGCATTAGACAATTTGGTCTCTTTTTCACTCAAATCCTTGGTTTTCAGAAAATTTTTCAATTCAATAGAGAGCTCAACAGTTTTAAGGGCCTCCTCAATCACCTTAGAAAGAACGTCATGATTGAGGATTGCACATCAATGATATAATATGCAAAGATGAATGTGAAATTTCATCAATTGCAAAGAATACACACACCATGATGTTATTTAAGAGCCTTGACATTAGAGGCCATGAAGCATTAGCACACAAAGCATCCCATTAGTAAGACAAACATTGTCACCCAATCCCAATCCACAAGATTAGTTTAATGCAAAACAAACACGGGGGGGAAAAACCAACCCAAAAACCAACACCACATGAATGATAAATAGTTTTTAGATTCAGAATGATAAGATGTAAAGGTTTAGAGATAGCTGATGTCTCATTCCAAATAATGAGTGATGGACATAATGTAGACAATTGGGATATCTTATAAAATTAAATTATAACTGGCCTGATTAATTTCCCCTTGATTTGCCCAGTTACGTATTTACAGGCACAGCCAAGTTGGGTGTCAAGTTCTTAGATAAAAACAACTTAAGTTGGATTTTACTGTGTTGATTGTTGAGGCCTGTTGTGCTACAGCTAACTTTAACTTACTAGTAATAAGACAAAAATGTTTAACTGTTTTCTCTTACCTTTGAAAGCTTTTCATAATACTGCCTCTCTGCTGCTTCATATTTGGGCTTCTCAAACCAAATGTTTTCATGAATAAGAGGAGAAGCCATGGTTAAGTGACTGGATTGAACTGACTTCCTAAAAACACAGAATGAGATTTTAAAGTTCTTCCTTGCAACAGAAGAATTTCAATAATTTTAAAGAAAGGCCCCTCCTAAACATTGCCTAGCAATTTAGCAATGTAAGCACTTGAACAGAAAATACTTTTCATTGAACTGAGATAACTTCTTGAATTTAAAGAAATCTCTTTATTTGTCAAGCAAGACAGAACAAAAGGTTTAGAAAAAAGAAATTATGTATCAAAATGTAGCACACCAGGCCAAGAAAGGAGGAAAAAAATCCACTCAGCGAACTTTACTTTACTACACGATACTGTAAACACCGGTGTGATCGAGTTAATCACTCTTTGAAAAGTTGAGGTTAAGAGACTGGTTTCAAACACTAAAACCTGAACAAAGAGATAAAATTTTCCCTCAGAAGGGACCCATGTACATCAAGGACAAAGTACCCGATGAAATGGCAGTTCCCCGTATATTGTACTTTCAAGGTCAATGACAAATTGAAACCAAATATGTGAGGGGACGAGGACTAAACGAGAACCAGTGGCGGCGAGATGAGCTAGCCGAATGTGCAGATGGCTTCAGAGCCAGAAAACCAACTATAACTGAGAGGTGCACTTGACAAGAGAATTGAACTATTTAAAAATTGCACCCCCTCACAAAATAAGTACTCACTAGTCAATCAAATTTGAAGAAAACAGACACCCAATGGTATGGCAATAGTATGCACGTGTCAACACACGGAGCTGATGACAGATTCACCCGACTAAAAGAATCCTCAGCCTACATTTGGCTTCGCAAATTCAATGTACCAAAATCAAAACTACGCAACACGAAACGTAATGCGTCGACCTAGCATGTAATTAGACACGGTAATTCAACAGAGCAATCAAATTTACCTGCTAAAAGTCCCTTGATGCGACTGCTGCAGTCTCAGCTGTGATGGAAAAAGGGAAGGGATATTTGAACGGAAATGATTGTATGAAATTCCACCGCCTTCTGATAGTGGCCGTGAAATATGTGGGAACGGAACAATTCCGCCATGACAGTTAATTCTCCCTGCTGTTGACGTGAAAAGTCATGAAATTTTGTTCTTTCAAAAAGTATAAATGGCTGGGTCATTTTTCGATTTCGACACTAATCTACCGGTACGTTTGACGTGCAACATAGCTGTACCTTGCAGTGGCTTTAGTCATTAAGGCATTCCAACCCCATCACTCTCAAGTAACTCATGGCCTGGTTACCTTGTACCGGGCTACATCAAGGTCTAATCTAATAATGTCGACAATACGCAACAGCTCTGTTGTAGAAACTACTTTACTTTCACCACAATTACAAGCTGTCCGTCGTGTTGCATTTTTGCAAGATTCGTGTGTAAGCCGAGATTATATCTTTCTTAGGTTATGCCCCTCGACAATAACGTAGATCTCATTTATTTATTAATTACTGTGTTTTACCCTTTAAATTCATAGTTTGCCTTCTGTAGGTATATATTGGACACTTTTCATATAGCGTCACGATTTGATGGATTCGGCCATTCAATGTCAGATACCTAACCTCTCGTTAGGTTGAAGTTCCAACTTTTCCCCCTACTTTTCTTGTGTACATTGCTGGGGAAGCTCAGCATCCAAATTGTTTCTTTCTTATATGTCGACATTTATTTGTTTAAGCTGTATATTTCCCTACTGTGGCCCTATCTGTACTACTGATTGCTTTGATTATCTGAAGAAATGTATGAATGTGTTATGAATGAATGAACTAATGCTGTCATTGATAATGTTTTTCTTAAATCATCAGGCTGGTGTAGAAGATGATTCCCATGGTATGGATGAAGAAGAAGAGCAATATGATGCTCTCAATGATGAAACATTTGGGACTGCCATGGGTAACTTATGATACATTTACTATTAACTCAAAGTATTGGTGGATTTAGTCGTATGGGCGTTTTTTTATTAGTTGGATTTGATCCTGACCAGAAGTCTGTCAACCAGAGGCCTCTAAATCCTTCAGAAATGTTTCTATCCCCATCCCCACAAGACTAAATCCACCTTCCTCTTGGTGATGAAATACAATTTTTCCTAGCTGACAACATGTTTTCTTTTTAAGATGGTGATTGGGAGCATGACCATGAAGAATTGGCTAAAATAACAGAAACCTCCCGTGGTTGGAAAGATGACTATAATGATGTTAATCACAATGATCATGATGATCTAAGGGTAATTTAGCAGACTTTTGCTTAAAATCTAATGTATACTGACAAAATTTATGATTAATCTCATCTTTTTCATGTTCTGCAGAATGGTCAAGATCATCTTGAGGCAAGTTTATCTCAGTTAGTATTAGAAGATAATGATGAAGTTGCCATTAATAGGAGGCCCACCTCTTCCCATCTTTCACATTCAAATCTAGTGGTAAGTCTCGACACCCTAACTGAATACCATTTTGAGTTTCTCTTACTGTTGCTTTACCTAGTACTGTTTTGTCAGCCGTATCCAGATTCTCCAAATGCACTGCGTAATTCAGTGTGGGCAGTTGGTAAACATGATGGGCCTTTATCTGCATCCTCCCCACTTCGCCCTAGGGTCAATGTACCACAGGGTGTTAAGGTATGCGTGTGTATTTTCCAACATATTTAACATCAATATAACCTTATCCACAGTTACATTGCATCAGCACAAAATTTATGTTTGCAGAATGTTTGCACTGTTGAGGAACTTGAAAGAAACCTCCTTCAAATGCGTAGTGGCAGTGGTTCATCCCTCCCTCCCCCACCAGGCCTAGGAAACCCAGTCTCTGGCGGTACTTTGCGCCTTGAAGATGTTGAAAGGAAAATAACTCAAGTTCCACCTCAGGCTAGAATGGTGATAGTTATTTTTTTATTTTATTTTTTGTACAATTCTTCCTTCCTGTAGACATGGAAAGTTCTGTATGAATTCATACGCCATAATTTCTCAAATCTTTGAATGATTGCAGAACATGGTCCCTGAAATGCCCTCAAGATTTCCACCTGGCTTAGGGAGGGCAAGCATTCTCTTGAACACAATGCAAAATCAGAGACTGATGGGTAAGTTTTTCTGAAACTTTTTGAGGTATTTAAATCAGATCAATTTCACAATTGTTTTGTTTGGTTGATTCAGGTCCTCCAGGGCATTTAGAGGCACAAAAGGTTCCATTACAACAACTGCCTCTTGGATTTAACAGCTCAAACTTGCCGCCACATCTAGCTTACCGCCAGCACACATTTCAGGTGAAATGATGATTTCAAGATCACAAGCACTGTCTAGTATTTTCCTTTATTTATTTAAATTTACTCCTTTTTTTGCTCCAGCCAATACACCCTGGTCCCGGGATTGTGCCTCTAGGTCCTCATCAGGCACAGCAGCATCCACCACCGTTCAATATGAATGGGCCCAGAATACCCCCGCCATTTCACATGAACAACCACATGCCGCCTCACTTACATCAACAGCCCCAGCATCCACCACACCATCAACATATGCCTCACCAGCAACACCGAAATTCTCATCCTCAGCCGTACCATCACCATCACCAACAACAGCATCACCAGCAACAGCATTGGGTGAATGGAGCAGGAGATTACGACGAATATGCAGGATTAATGACACCCTGGCAGAAGCAATGGCTGCTCAACATACAAACACTTCAACTCAATGTTGGAGTTCCCTATGTGGTGGACTATTATTACACTGTAAGTTTCAAGCTTTTGCAAATATTAATGCTTTGTATTCCGGATTAAAGCATACATGTATAAAAATTATTTACCAATTAAAATATTTCAGGTCTACAAGACTCGTCAGGAAAGGAGACGCTGCCTAACAAATAAATCTGAAGAACGTTCTGCTGGAAGACCAGAGTCAGTAAAACTGAGAGAGCGCCCAGAATCTGCCAAACCTGGCAGGGATCGCCCCCCATCTGTAATGGGACCAGCTAAAGCTTACACACCTCTTCAGTTTGAAAATTCTTTAGGAAAACTTCAGGTTTGTGTTGTTTTTGTTTTCTGTTTTATTTATCTATCTATCTTCAGTTTGAGCCTCTCTATTTTATCTTTTGTTATTTAACAGTGTGTCAGTGTGACAGCTCCCCGTAAACTAATAGACATGGATATTGTGGGCTCAGAAGGGCAAGAAGCACCATCCTCTCAGAGAGATTTGAAAAAGACAAAACAATTACTTTTAGAAATTGAAAGATTGTATGTTCTACTTTTGGAACTAGAAGATGCATTTGACCCACAAGCAATTGAGGCAGTAGCTGAGGCTGCTATTGCAAGAGCAGCTAAAGATCCTCCAGATCTTGAGCCAGAACCTGAAAAGCCTTCCCCTGAGGAGCTTATTCAACGTATGACAAGTGTCCTTGTTCAAGGCGACAAGCTCTATGGATTCATGGGTATCAGAAAAGGAAAGGTAATCTTCATTTTTCTCATATTTTTGGCATTTTATAATGTGTTTAAATCAGTCTTATACGCTTATTGATTTCCTTCTAGACTTTCTTGCTGAGACTTTTACCTCATGTGCCACTGCATACTGGAGTCCATACAGCTTTGTGGGGCCAAGTCCTTGTGGGATTATTTGGTGTTGTAAGACGAGACCAAGCAGATTGTCTTCTCTTACGCTTTCTTCCAGAACTCAAAAGATGGTTGGAAGTCTGTGATTTGTCTCTGATTTTAAAAGTTGTTGGTGAAGTTGTTGCTGAAGCTAGTCTTAAATCCAAGTCTGGAAAAAGTGCTCTTGCTACAGCTGTCAATAGCAAGGTATGTTATAACTATGAGATGATTTTTGATGTGCACATGCTATCACCTTCAAATTCAAATATTTTTCAAATCTTGATTTTCAGTTTGGAGTGTCAGCCTTAAGTGCTATCATCTCATCTTCGGAAAGGCATTTATTGGAAATGAATCAGAAACAAAAAGATCAATGGGCCGAGTTTTTATCAGCAATCGCTGTAGTTGCTGAGACAGCGCGCCTTTCAGATGAAAGTTCTTCTCAATCATTCTCTTTATCTTCTGAAACTTTACAGAGACATATAGATGCTTGTGGATCTGCTCTAACAAATAAGTATGGAGCTTTCTTAAAACGTCTTTTTTTAAGTGACTCTCTAAAGACTGAAAGTGTTACTGCTACAGATAAATCAAATAGAAGATCTGGTGATTCAACACTTCATACTATCATAAATTGATTATAAATTTCAATCAATCAGTCCAAGTGTTAAATACAGCAGATATTTCTGCTTATCATTCTAGAAAATTTTGTACATGATATTTGAATTGACTTTGCTAAAGTTGTATTTCTAAACTTTTTACTCAATGGGCTAAATGTTAGCTGTTTGTTATCTGGTGCTTGATGCCTTTAGTATTTTACTGTGGGTATTCCTGACAAAGCAGGGTTATGATCTTCTAAATTGAACTAGACCAGGTATTCTCGGAGTTTATCAGTGGCCATGGCAGTTATTTTCTTATTTTGGTCATTCATCCTGTCTTCTTCTCTGTTTATTTATAATAGAACTTTCATAAATAGTTGAAAAAGTCTTTTTCGTTGTCTCGCATCAAACATGAAGTGTACATTTCTTTAAGAAAGTTAAAAGAATATTTATGTTATTGTTATTATACAACTTCTAAATAATGGAGAAGGTGCGGGTGTGTTGGAGATTAATTAATTCAGGAATGACGAATGATGTCGATCGTATTGGAAATGATAATACTTTTTCTTCAAATTTTCCCATTTCAACTCTTATGGAAAGACCTGTTTGATATTTATTTCTTAGAGTACTCCTTCTTCGCTGTCTTTTTCTTTGCCCCCAGCTTAGCAGTTTGTGTACCAAGCAAAGATGAAATGTTATTCACTTTTAGAAGTGAATTTTTCCAGATGTGATTATGAATTGAAATGACTTTGTATTATGTATGTTTAACTCATGATGAATTTTGAATCGCTCTTAGACTGCTCCATGCTCTAAACAGGGAGTAAGATAAAAATATTTTATTTGTTAACTTGGTTCATCATTTGTCATGAATATTTTTCTGCATTTTACGTATCAACACTTTTCTGTGTGACTAGACCACAGATATGTGATTGTCTTTCTGTTAAATTAGGCTTTTTTTCCCCTTCTCTTCCGTTGTTATTGCAATGATTAAATTTGTTGATGTGCAAGCTGCATTTCATGAGACCCTTTAAGTTACCTTACATTACAAGTAGTAAATGTTTCCTGCACCTTTATTTTTGTGTCAATCTTATATACTTCATTTCTTCCCTCCCCTTTCAATGTCAGGAAATGAAATGCAGTATTGTGATAATTTCGAGGATAATTTATATATTCAACCAAGAAATGTAGAAAAATTGTACTGTATTAAAATCAATAAACAGAACTCAACATTGTGTAAACTATTTCAACTTGATGGCGCCTGTAAAGCCAATTTCAGCCATTCAACTTTTAGTTAAGGGTAATCACTGCCGTTCATGTTCAGTGACCTCTTTCTAAATTTAAAGAACATTACACATGTTGGAATTGCCTAAATGTTTTGGAGTGTGTAAAAGTTTAGTACAGATGATTTCCTCAAGCATTAGCAATGCAGCCAGAGCTTAAAAGTGAGGAACTTGGAAGATAGGTACATAAGTTAATCTGAGATACTTGTGAGAGATCTTTTTGTTAAGACTGCAATAATAGTCATGTTCTTTGAGCTTTTTTTTTTCTTTCAA